GACATGGTGCAAGAAAATACAAATGAGTGTCCTTCATGACTAACGGTCCGGTCAAATATCACGTGAATAAATCGCCGGTCAGAACACTGATTTTTATGACTTTGTTTTTGTGACAAACCAATAATGCGTTAACGAGCACTGACAGCCTTGCATCAACTCCGAGTCCTTAACGGTTCTCAAGATAGTGAATTTTCGCCTAGATCTGTCCGTTGATTCTAGTACAATAGTATCAGCTTCCACTGAATAAGTCGTCTACTTCACACATGCGTGGTGTATTTACGAGCGAACCAGATAGCATCACACAACAAAATAAAAAATCATACCCATACAAGATGAAGTTAAAAATGGCTGTGAGTATGTGGTGCTGTAACTAATAAATTGGGAATAAATTAACAATAGCAAATAGTATAACAGTAGCCAATTTATCAAATATTGGCATATGACAAAAGGAATACGAATATATGTATAGACCGGCTACTTAATAATTCTCCAGTAGGAATATATGTGGTGATACTTCGTTCGTAACACGATTTAATGAAGTATTTGCATGATAAATCAGGATTAATACCTTAAGTACGTGACATCACACTAAACCATAAGGAGCCGTAATTAAACAAATTGTTCTGCCCTACAGACATGGGTGGATTGAATTTATCTCCCCACCATCATGTTTGCTGATCAGTAACGCCAACCTCCCTCCTTTTGTGATGTTATGATCTTTTACGTTTGTGGTAAGTATGAATACTGCTTCAATCAAAGCCCATAGTTGGAATGCACTGTCTCTACTAGGTCCATGTTACAAGCAAATCAGATAGTTAAAAAGTTTGTTTCATGGGTTAGATGTCCACACAGTATATCACACTGCTATGAAGATAACTAATGGTTTTAAGAAGTAAGGACTAATAACAAATCAAAGGATATGAGAGGGTATGAAATTGTAGAAAAGAAAAAAGATTTTAGGGTAAGAAAAATAAAACATTGAGAAACTCACAAGACTTTGTGGCCAGATTTTGAGCTTTGTATGATCGGCCTTAGTAGATCGGCATCCATAAGATTAGTGAGTTTTCTGTCTACTTGCAATAGAAAAAAAGAGGCATGACTTTTAGGAAGAATAATGCACATTTAGCCTGCAGTGGGATTTGGGAACTGAAAGTGAGGGTTAGAAGCATAAGGCCATGATTAATAAACAATGAATAATAGGAAGGGATAAGCCATATATTCTGTGATTTGGTTGTATTCATATTAATAACAGTCAGGCTTGTTATATTCTTGGATGAAATGGACAAACCTGATGAACACCATTTGAAGTAACCAGTTCTGATGCAAATTTGCCATAAGCTTTGACTCGACCATTAATGTTCAAGTGGAGGGTCTGTACAAGGTTAATGTACTTCTTTGGTACTCCTTTCAATAACGGACATTGTCATAGAACCTCACGGTCAACGAGCCGAACACTGCCTTAAGGTCAGTGCGTATAACCATTGCCGAACGTCAAAAGTATTTGTGTCCTGAAATTTGTCTAAGATGAATATTTGGCCTGTACATCCAAGTCCATGTCTCAAACTATCCTGATTTTTTCGAATTTACTTTCTACGATCTCTATTTGGACGTCGAAGTATTTTAGAGGCTAATATTTGAGAAACTATATTAGTTAAACTGACTTCCCTATACTTGTTACAACAATATTTTCGTCCATTCTTATAATCTGTGACGATCAGTGATAAAGACTAATCAGATAAAATTATATCCAGTCCTCAAACTGGGATGCTTACTCTTGCCATTCCTTCTGTTAGCGGAATAGATAATGGAGACCTCCATATCTTTCGGGGTAGCTTGTGTGAAGCTAGACTATTTGGACTCCCCAGATGACCTAGCTAGCTCTTCCAAACTAATTAAAGCAACAAATGCAGGTGAAGACAGCCAGTGCAGCAGCAGCCTACACAACGGTATGCCTCGACATACACGAGGGAAAAGGCGAGATTCCGAAACGTAACAAGGGGGAACACCAACCTAGTCACAACTGATGGAGAAACTCTAGAAGTGGTAGGGAGCCCACATACATTGGTTGCATGATCGGATGAAAAGGAGGATCTGATGCAGATGTAAAGACAAGGATTGTCAAACCAAGGACAGAATTTCTACAGGTGAAGTATATATGAAACTCAAAACAACTAACAGCCAACGTTGAAGTCAGATGGTTTTATTTCAGGGGACTGAAACTTGGGGGACGTCTATAGCCATCAAGAAAGTACATGAACTTATAAATAGTTATTCGTCAAAGATACTGAATGTCGGTTGGTCGGACACCACCAGTGGGATAGAACAAGCCAGCTGAGGAGGACTCTCTCAAACAGAGTTTGTTGGAGAATCCTATGCTCCTCCGCGATGGTTAACATGCGCTCACTCGTGCCATTGTGTTGCACAATTTCTATGACCCCAACCAGGGAGTCCTGAAGGAACGACAAATTTTAGTCATATACAGTTCTATTTCATATCACCTTCCCACCTTCTTAAATCAGTCCAGAGGTAAACAAATAAGGCTCGATTGGAATACAGTGAGTCGACACTTGTAGTACATGTCCAAAGCACGCAATTGATTTTCAGAATCATGGCATCAACTGAAGTATCGCCACCCTACCTGAACAAACGTCGTCGAAAGTCGGCATTAATGCGTGATTTTGCTACTGAATTTCATTAATCCTTCGAAAACAAACATCACTGAATGCACAGGGTTGACTAACATCCTCAATGTCCGGAGACAGACGAGATGAGTTTCTGAGTGTCTATCAGTTCAGTAGATTCGACTGAAATCTACTGACTTCTCCTAGCCTTTCGATTTGAGTTACTGGTAGATATCACTGCTTTTCCACAGCTTTTTGGATATCATGACAAGCTACCTCGAGGTGCGTATAACCTTCATAGTTGACCACCTCCTTCAGTGGTTTAAGAAGTAAATTCCTAACCTTTTCATCATAAAACTTCAAGACGTTTGTTTACTGTAGATTTTCTACGTCCAGACAAATACGTGCTTGGACTAGGAAATGTAAATGGACGACTATCTTAATATAGTTGCAGCAGACAATCGCCGTTATCCGTTTGCTGATCCGCGACACTGCAAGATTTGGGTAAGTGCCTTTCGGTTTGGTTTAGTCTACCTATTTGAGGTTTTAAATCATAGACGTCGCACATTCAGGAAATTAGGTTCATTGAGTCGAATCCAGAGTGTTAGAGCGCGCTTCTCTCTTTGAGGAGAGTGCTTTTATACCTAACGTTGTCATGTCAACCTAATGTCTCGCAAACCGGAATTATGATTAGTCTGCGTTCATGTAGTTATATGATTTGCCATATTATGATGTAAATTTCATTAAATAACTAGATTATTCTGTGAATTTTGGTGTGGCTGTAACTTTTGTTTGCCACGTCTAAGTGAGTTACGCTGGACATGCTGGAATGATATACCAAGTCACAGTAAGCTCGATCAAATCATTTTTTTAATAGGCCGTCAATGAATGATGTTACTGGAGAAAGGTTTGTTGTGCTGCAAACTGTTTTTTTGCGTAAATGACTGTTGTCTTCAGTCTCAAAATATCGTTTGTCTCTGTTAGGTGGGTCTTACTGGCTTATACTTCATGTTTTTGGTTTTTTTGAGGCTAAATTATCCACATTTATCTACTTTGATTAACATGTCTGTGCAAATGAATTAATCATGATGACACCTTAGTTTAGTATTCTTGGCTGTCGTATAATTCAATTAGTCGATATAAGTATAGTGCTTGAAGTATATAATGGAGCAAATCAGTTTAGTAAGTAGAGCTGCTCACTCATTTCTGTTAGTGTGCTTGAGGGTCAGAACTAGAAAACGATCGGTGTGAGATTATGTATAATTTAGAGCGTATAAAGCTCCAGGAGGTTGAAAGCTTAGAATTTGTATAAAACAGGACGAATCACGGGGATGTTAGGTTAATGCATCATATCTATCATATTCCCACTATCTGACTGTGGACAAACATAAAAAATCATATTGGCAACTGGGAATTTTAGTTTATCAGATGCTAACTCTTTTATCTACCCGTCAAAGCAGACGCAGATGCATTAGAATACTTAAATGGGGGCAAAACAATATGGTATCTTCTTAATCACAAACCTGCATTAGATCGATAGCATCCCTGACCTGTTCCCAGGTTGTCAGGTGCCTGGGTTTCATAATTCTTTCGAAAACAACACTGTGTCTACAACTATTGGACACTCAGTATTAGTTTGACTAGTTGATGGGATAGGGTTATCCATAATACTGAAGGACATAACAAACCGGAAGTCGTTTTCTTTCAATGCTCTAGATAACATCATAAACGAAAGTTACGAATGAACATGTGGGCATTCAGAGTCCCAGTGGCAGCAATATATTTTTAGCTAGAAAAAAACTAAATTTGTTCCTCGACATCTACAAAATAATACTAAAAACACAACAGATTAACATTTTATAACACAAAAAAGCGTACTTGCCTGAGGGAATACACTGCAGTAGCAGCAACAAACCGAGAAAACAAAGATGGCGGCAATGATAATTTCCGCTTCATCCTGAATGGTCGCTTAGGCGACTGTCAAAATGGCGGGACTATAATTTATGGACGAACAAATCAGATTTATGATAACAGGTCTTGTATTTTGGCGCGAAACTCATTCACCCGTTTGGCTGAATAGAATCCTGGTATTATAGCTGGTGTCAGTTCGTGATGAAAACCCTAAATCTGATTCCTAACACAAGCGATCAACTGTAAATGATAACCCTTATTCTTCAAACTGCTTTAAGTAGGTAGACACCCTCAAGGTCACTTTAGCGTCGCTCAATGTCGTCCACACAATCTACCAATTGCTTGATGAATCCGTCGTCCAATTAGATTAAAGCGGCATTTTCGACGTTCCGGACAGTAATATTGTGGTCTCATTTATTTCAGTTGTGATTCAACTTCTGGATTGCTTCTTCTTTTCTGGTTCCAAAAATGCAGGAGGACCAGCCGTTCAAAGTTGGTAAGTTTTAAACTTGTCCAAGTACTTGACATAAACGTTTATGTCGTGTCATTTTAAAATTATTTTCTTATAAATGTCACTGAATACAATCATGTGAATAATTCTGAATTTAGTAAAATGTTTATTAAGTTGGCTTCATGTCAAACATCGAACCACTATGCTTTCATCACAATTTCAGACTCAGATTTGTGTAGTAACCCAATTTCGGGGAATCCGCTATAGAAAATTTTGGGGAAATGACACCAAACCCACAAAATTTCCCCAAAATCTTATTACTCTTTGGGAAAACCGGCCTATATTTATTATAAAACCCCAAAATTTTGGTTAGATTTCGCGTTTTTCCTCAAAATTTCAGTCCTTAAGGACTGAAGGCCTACGACATATGTTATTCCTTTTCTAGTATGCTTCTATAAGTGTCTAGTCTTCTATTGAATAAGTCAATTGAAGGTGCGGACACCACTTCTTCGGGTAACAGGTTACAGGAATTGATAACTCGGTATGAAAACCTGTATACCATGGGTATTTCGTTCGTTCTTGGCTTCTCTGCTTGCGTGTTATGTCCTCTGAGATGTCCTAACCTAGTGAGAAGAACAAGAGAATACATTAGGTTTAAAATAATTTCTTAGTATTCTATGTATTAAAATCAGATCACCTCAATCTTCAGTAGGACAGAGTAAAGAGGTCCTGCTTTTCAAGCCGCTTTTTGTATGGTAAACCCTGGAGTTCTGGAATTGCATGGTAGCTGCCCTCTGTGATTTTCTCAGGATATCTGAGTCATCTGTTAAACAGGGACTTGCAGCCTGAACGCAGTTTTAAGCTTAGTTCTCACTAAGGTTGTGTATAATGTAGTGAACATGGTAGTATCTAACTTGAATATCCATCTTAAAGCACGTAGGGTTCTAAACCTCTTAGCTACAACCTCCTGGCAGTGGGCCGTGGTCTTAATATCATGACTCACTGCCCCCCAAGATCCTTGTGAGATCGGACCGCAGGTACAAGTGCTTTCCATATGCTGTACCTATTTACCTTTATATCCTCAAAGTGCATGTGGACACACTTTGCGGCGTTGATAGACATCAGCCACTCTTTGGACCCGCTAATCACAATATTTAAGTCTACCTAATGTGTGTATGCATATGCGTCTCCTGTTATTTCTCGCCAGATTTTTACATCAGTGTATAGTAACATTGGGGACTCAACCATACTTGGGAGATCATTTACATACAGTATAAAACTCGATGGGCAGAACACTTTAGGGATCAGTTCAACTGGCCTTCAGCCACACTTCAGTTTCCCACAATCTCCAGTCAACCTGAATGGCAAGTTAATTTAGGTCCTCCGACTCTTTATGAAGTTGAAAAAGCTATAGGAAATCTGAAGCGAGGGAGAGCAGCAGGCCCTGACAGGTTTACTCCTGAGATTTTTAAGGATGGTGGTCCAGTATTAGCAGTGAGATTAACTGAGGTCTTAGGTAGAATTTGAGAACTGGACGCAATCCCATCTGACTGGTCCTAATCACTGATTGTGCCAGTCCATAAGAAAGGACAAAAGTCCTCTTGTGACAATCACAGAGGAATCAGTTTGACAAATATAGTGTCTAAAATATTAACTTCAATAATACTTCGGCGCCTAACTAAAGCTCATGAAGAGCAGAATAGAGAGAACCAGGCTGGTTTTCGACCTGGACGTGGTTGTATAGATCAGATATTCACACTACATCAGGTCCTAGAACATAGACACACATTCAGAAGCCCCATAATCATAGTATTCCTCGACCTTAAGGTGGTATTTGACTCTGTTGATCGTGAGGTTCTATGGCAGAGTTTGTCACTGAAGGGAGTACCAAAGAAGTACATTAACCATGTAAAGGCTCTACTCGAACACAACTGGTCGAGTGAGAGCTTATGGCAAACTGTCATCAGAATTGATTACCTCGAGTGGTGTTCGCCAGGGCTGTCCACTCTCCCCATTCTTGTTCAACTTTGTGGTCGACGTAGTTTTAGAGATAACACTCTCCTCATCTAAATTTCCAGGGGTTGAACTTCTACCAGGAGATTCACTTGTTGACTTGGAATATGCCGATGACATAGTTCTATTTGGTGAAGACTCTGACAAAATGCAGAGTCTTCTGACCACTCTAAGCAACAATGCAAGCATGTTCGGGATGCGATTCTCCCCCTCGAAATGCAAAATGTTGCTTCAGGATTGGGTTGCATCGACATCCGAAGTGAAGTAGTTGAGCGTGTCGACCGCTTCACTTACCTTGGAAGTCTCATCAGCCCTTGTGGTCTTGTGTGTGACTAAATCTCAGCACGGATACAGAAGGCTCGACTAGCTTTTGCCAACTTGCGTCATTTATGGCGTAGGCGAGATATCCGTCTATCAACCAAACGACGTGTTTACTGCACAGGTAGGTGTAGACTACCTGTTTGGGGACTGCGAGATGATTGCAACCGATGGTTAGAGACCCTGAATGACATGGCTCAAAATGGTTTGCAATGGCGCAGGTGCATCCACTCTTTATGTTCGCCCAAATTCTAATCTTCTGAATTCTTCATGTCCCTTTCTTTTTTCTCTTTCCAAATTTATTTCACTGGATTATACTTCTTGAATAACATCTTCAAACCCTAATTTTTCTGATTACAGCTTATAATTTTACTACATCCTAGCACTACGGGATCTGAATCGACCACTTCATCTCTGTGCTAACGTGGTATGGCAACTCGAACTGATGTACGTACGTACAAAGTTCTACGTTGTTACTGACTGACTGAGTATAAAAATTAAAGGACCTAGGACGGAACCTTGCGGTACTCCACTAAGCACTAGTCTCCAGGTGGAGCACTTCGAATTTACTCTTACTTTCTGTCTACGACCTACCACACCTTGGCCAAATGACATTGAATATCGCAATTGGTGGAACTGCCATATGTTGTGCGATTTGTCTCAAGTTTTTGGGGTGTAGTTCATCCGGTCCTGCTGACTTTTCCATGTCTAAATTGCCAAGAGATTGTGCTAACTGCATTTAATATTTTCTATGAGCTTCCCGGATTTTAATTATACACTTATTTCCTACCGACCTATAGCGTTCCATAGTAATTGCTGTGCCAAAGCTGATAGCAACGTCTCAACACTTCTTTTGTCTTAGTAAATGTCGAATATCTTGGCCTATTCAGGGATAACAGTCTTCTTTTTTGGGACTGTCCAGGGTATATGTGGTTGAACTACCTGATTGTATAACTGCCTGAAATGAGTTCATGTATCTTCTACTGATGTCCCTGAGTCGATTGGTCCTTCGGCTCTCTCTCACATTGTCCGGACATTCCATGTACCTATATTGTTTGTTGTTCTGGTTGTCAGAAGAGGCAACGGCCTCAAGATTTTCGAGGAATCTCGGTATTCATCATGAGGCGTTATGATGATGCACACTGACCATGTTTCTAGTTGTTTTCGCGATAGACCAGTCAGTTAGGCCCAAATAACGTAGAACCTGGCACAAATTTCCATCGAATCAAGCTGAAAAATCACGTTAACACAACGGCGTGAAATTCTCAATATGAATAATAAAACAATATCTGATAATAAGAATAATCAGGCATAGAAAATTTGATTGGAGATGAAAGAATTAATTAAGTGAATGAAAAATCTAAAGTAATTTTTAAACATGAACCCCAAGGTTAAATAAAGTATAAGTGGATATACACTGTTGCGATCGATTTTCAGCGTTGTTGCCCACGTTTTTTGAGAGTTAGTAGTAATAATCGGTTCACATTAATCATAGCGCGCATTAATCAAAGGTGAGCATTGAAAATGCAGATAACCTTTTTAGTAGTGTGAAGTACGTTCGAATTACCCTCTGTCCCTTTACTTTGCGACCAATCAAAAAGGTAGTCTTCTGAACGTACGTTGAAGAGTCTAATTTCTCGAATTCGGTAAAAAAAGTGTTGTTATTACCCCAGTTGTGTTATTTCGTACGTCTGTTTTGAAGAGCTAGGATATAATCTAATCGAAGGGATATTTGTGTGTTGGATTCCCAACAGATCAAGAGTTTGTTAGACAGTTCCAGGTAACCGAAAATTTAACAGTAATGGACCTAATTACGATTATGTATTTGAAGTGAAAATGTTTAGGTCGCATTGTCATATGATGTATGAATTTATCATAAAACAGCCGACTAAACACAATCATGTTCCTTATAAGTCCACGACAGATGCGAAAAAGACAATCAACATAATGAAAGATCGAACAGCTTTTTCAACAGACGCGGCACATCAAATTGTGGTCACAGTGTCAACTGGTTTGTCGTACGTGGTGTCAGCTCAATCTCCAGCTGATAGTGTAATGAAACAGCATGATAGTCAAGCTTCCTTTCTAAATCCAGGTTCTTCGAATGTACTAAATTCACCCTCTGAATAATGTGAGGAGGGAGAATTTCTTACTTTATGATAGTAAGGCGGGCGACAAAAGAATTTCAATATTTTTGATATAACCGGTGTTTAAAGTATTTTTTCCTCACGTATATTACGATAATATGTTAATAAGACTAGTCACGTTATATCAGAACTAGGATTCACGACCCAAAATAGAGATCCAGATTAACACTAGATAATACTTTATTCAATACAAGTAACAAGCAGTCACACTCAGTGGGTCCGGAGTAAAAATCAATGACGGAAAGGGGAATCACATATTTGATAGTCAGTAGGCTGTGGCTGTTTGTCCACGCTCAACGACCAATCATTTTACTTCCACTGGTTAGCGTTTTTTAGCGAGTTAGTTTTCTACGGGATGGGGTCACTAACCCCATGCCCAACCCTCCTCCTTTACCCGGGCTTGGGACCGGCAGTAGCTCTAGGAGAGTTACAGGCGGTTTTTTTACTTCCACTACTACACATCAGTTTTCTACATCTTGGAATATTGAATTTTTGAAGCACTGTCGTCATTAGTACGTTGACAGGACATTCAAGACCTCGCCATCTTTGTTTAGTCAGCTATACACAATTCATGCTATGAGATTCTGCATGATTGTTCAATTGGTTTACATTCTAATGAATGACGAAAGTAGGAATTCGTATGTCTACATATTTAATAAATCAAATGAATTGTACCAAACTTTAAATCCATCAGGTATCATGACTGACTCAGCATTATCAGCATTTCGATAAGTATATCTGAATACAGTACAGCCACATTGTAGCTGACTAACTGACTGAAGTATATCTGAGTACAGTACAAGAAGGTCATCTGTTTCGTCCGAGCCAGTGTATATGGCGGATACTTCAACAATAAGCGAACCTGCAGCAACTTTATGTGACAAAATAAAATTTTCCTTCCCATATTCGTCATTTGGCAGCATTAGCTTTCGTGCTGGTCACAGCTGCATTTTAGAGTCTAATAGTCATCATTTTACATAGAGAATGAAGAAATCAAGGGGTTAACAAATCATTTAGATCGGGAGACCAGGAGAACGTAATGGTCGCAGTAAATGCCGTGGATCGATGCCACGCTTTAGTTGTTACTAGCTTTATTCCGACCTACTACACCAACCAACATCATACGTCTAGGTAGTCGGTTGTTGTGTATACGTAAGCCACCTAAATTAATAAAGATTCACAACATAGCCAACTGATTTTCCTTTTTTTTTAACCTTCGGTGACTTGGACCGGATTAAATGAAGATCAGCGATAGGTGAACTCTTCGTTTTAGTTTTATTTTTGCTAGGCTTATTGATTCAGTAGTAATAATGGATGTTGTTTCAATTTATCTTTCAAGTGGGTAACAACTTTCCTTACTGTTGTTTGATTTCAGCCGTTGTTGGTGGAGGAATAGGTGGTGCAAGTTCGGCTTATTTTTTACGGAAAATGTTTGGCAATAAAGTTTCTATTACCCTTTTTGAAAAATCCGGACGAATCGGTGGTCGTATCAAAGCAGTACCTTTTTGTGGAGAAACTTGCGAATCTGGAGCTAGCGCCATTCATTCTAGTAATCATTACATGACTTCGTTTGCAAATCAATTCAGTAAGTTAGTTTGCATATTTCCTGAATATTTTGTGAACATAATCTTTTAACAATGTAATTGGATTCACGATCAAGTTGTTAAAATTAACTTATTGTTTCCAAACAATAATGTTCATCAGATTTGTAAAGTTTCTAATTCTTAACTTCCACACTGTTCTACTTGATTTTTTCTTAATACATTGTCTCAGTCAGACATCGCACAAATGATAAGTGTATGTGATTAGTCAAGAAATGGTTTTTATTTTTCCTCAGTAGTTAGTTAGGCTCGTTTATATGAAGATTATGAATCAATATCAATTTCTGAACTCCGCACATCAGATCATTTTTCATCGAGAGTAAAATCTTCACTATACCAATAATATATCCCTTTGACGGTGAAAACAATAGTGCAGTTAGTATACAACTTTAGACCTTCAGTATACATTCATTTAAGATGAGTTTACACGTATAATTTCTTCCAATATTCTGATTACTAGACATAAAATTACAAATTAATTATCATTAATTATACATTTCCCAAAATCAGTAAAGTGTTTTTCAAACTTTATCTACCTTTTAATTTTCTCATTCAGTATCATATCCAAGTAGTACATTTGGAGCATAAATCTCTTACAGTAACGAATTGAAGAGAAATCCCCACTCTGTAAAGTATTTCGCAGATGACCTAGCCCTCCTATCGCACGAACAAATGCAGATAAAGACAGCCAGTGTAGCAGCAGTCTATGCATCAGTAGGCCTCAACATACACAAGGGGAAAACCAAGGTCCTCAAATTCAAAACGAAGAACAGCAATCCAATCACTCTTGATGGCGAAACTCTGGAAGATGTAGAATCCTTCACATACCTGGGAAGCATCATCGATGAACAAGGTGGTTCAGATGCAGACGTAAAGTCGATGATTGGCAAAGCAAGGGCCACATTTCTACAATTGAAGAACATACGGAACTCAAAACAACTTTCAACCAATATCAAAGTGAGAATCTTCAATACGAATGTCAAGGTAGTTCTACTGTACGGAGCTGAAACTTGGAGAACTACAGCAACCATCATCAAGAAGGTGCAAGTATTTATAAATAGCTGTCTACTCAAGATACTCAACATCCATTGACCGGATACCATCAGCAACAGCCTTTTGTGGGAGAGAACAAACCAGCTTCCATCTGAAGAGGAAATTAGGGAAAGTCGATGGAAATGGATAGAACGTAGATTACACAAATCATTGAACTGCATCACGAGGCAATCCCTAACTTGGAATCCTGAAGGAAGTCGGAAAAGAGGAAGGCCAAAGAACACATTACGTCGGGACATAGAAGCAGATATGAAAAGGATGAGTGACAACTGTAAGGAGCTTGAAAGGATTGCCCAGGACAGGGTTGGATGGAGAGTGGTGGTGAGCGGCCTATGCTCCTTCACGAGGAGTAACAGGCGTAAGTAAGTAAGTAAGTAAGTAATGTTAGGGTATACGCATTTATTTCAGCGATATGTTAAAGGAATACGACTATCCACTACAATGTTCAGATTGACAAAAGTTTGAGTTGTTTTATTGATCATATTTTCAGTAATTTTATTTTCAAGTTTTCTTCCTAAAATTTGTTATCAAATCTGGTAAAATTCAATTTCTATTCTAATGTTGATCTAATTTCACTGAATTAATTATTGTGAACAAAATAGTTTGAGACTTTTCAGTGTTTATTGTTTGTTGTTGTTTAGATAGCGGTTTTGATGCTTGTATTAATACATTTTATGTTTTTGCTTTATAGAAATACCTTTGGTTCCTTTAAAAAATGCTGATCATCGCTTACTTCTTTTTGAAGAAGGTTATAGACCAGTATTTTCAAATATTACTGATCAGACAACATTTCTAACCCCGATTCACTTATTTTGGCGTTACGGCCTCAACTTGCTTCGTGCAAAGTTTTATCTAATGGCTAGAATTCGAGAATTCACTCAGTAAGGATGTTTAAATGATAAATTTTATGACGTTTGTCAACGCTTCACATATCCACCTAATTAAATGTTGACTCGTTATGATTACTGCAATCCACCTTTCAATGTGTGCCTTAAAATTTGAGTTATGTTTATTGAATAAGGTTGAAAATACTACTGGTTTACCCATATCAAAGTACCTGGAGTATAGTGGAAAACTGTGGTTTAATGGTTTATTATTGAATGTTCAACATTGGGCTATAAGAACACTTGTTCTATAGACAGTTAATATGTCAAGTATACTGCATTTTGTTTATTCGCATTATGTACTGATACACTGAAGTCACAACCACACCCATTATGACTTATGAGTACAACTTGGTATGGATATTAACAAGATTGAGAACATGTCGGAACTTTTTTTGCTACTGATTGAATGAATTTGTATATGAATTATGTATATGAAGCTATCTATGTAATGTGCAGTATGTTTAAGTAGGTGCGTATTTCGCTTACAATAAATAACCCATACCTTCATTCCTCACTTGTCCTGGCCTCGTAGTGGCATGTGACCTGGATTCGTCTAATTCATCAGTATTACATCATATTATAGATTCTTTTAAAATGTTATTTGATGTTTTTCTAAGTGAACCTCAGTCGATCGCTTTACCGCAGTTGCTGTGTTTTTCTGTGTTCTTCTAAATCCTGAGCTTTTACCATTCCATGCTTTCCATTCTTTAATCTTAATCATTTTTTCTAAATGCCATCTCTTATAACTGGCTTTTACTACGGTGGATATTATTTTTATTATTGTTTTCCTGTTTATAATTTTCATTTTTCTTATTTTGTCTGGGTGTTAAAGTAGGATATGACCAACCTACACTGATAAATATTCGTGCCAGAACATACATTGTCTATGATTAACTGACATCTTCCTCCTTATTTTAAAGACCTTATTATTCCGCTTTTGCTCAATTATTTATTTCATCATTTGTATTTTTCCTGTATATTTTATAGATTTCAAAATTTCAGTCAGTTTTTTTGCTTGTTTCTGTGATAACCATATTCCGAAGGTTTAGTTTTCTTATTATTGCTCCTACATTATTTCGACCTCTTGTGATTTTCATCTTGTCGTGCTAATCCGGAATGGAAACTTGATTCGACAGATATCTATTTCAGGCTCTCTGTCGATGATGTCTGTCTGTCTGTAATAATCTATATGTTAATCAGATAACATGATATGATGTTTTCTAAGCTGGAAGACCTAGCAATGACAGCAGAGAATGGATCTCTATCGAATTCCTGTACAAGATTCAGGAAAGGAGGAACAAGAAAACCTCAATTAACAACAGTCGAACAAGAGCAGAAAAGCCGATGCACAGACCGAATACACAGAAGCAAACAAACGAGTGAAGAGAAGCACTAGAACCGACGAGTGGGAATACGTGGAACACCTAGCAATGACATTGGAGAAAGCTGCAAGAGAAGACAATCTGAGACGACTATATGATACGACGAAGAAATTAACAGGGAACTATAGTAGACCATAGAAACTAGTCAAGAAAACAGAAGGCAAGAGAATCACTAAGATTGAAGAACAGTGGAACAGGTGGGTAGAGGACTTTGGAGGACTGGACTGTTGAATAGACTAACCCCACTGAATCCACCACACATCGAAGCAGCACCTACTAACCTTCCTATGGGTTTCATATCATCAACAGTGGAAGGAATGAGGATGGCCATCGGACAAATGAAGAATGGGAAAGCAGCAGGACCAGACAACAAACCGGCTGACACACTGACATCAGACATGGAGGTAACTGCAAAGGTGTTCCACATGTTATTCAGAAGGATTTGGGAGAAGAAACAAGTGCCACTAACGGACTGGAAAGAAGGATACTTTATGAAGGTACAAAAGAAAGCAGATTTGAGCAAGTGTGAGAACTCAGCTACAGAGGCATCACATTACTATGAGTACCAGGAAAAGTTTTCAACAGGGTGTTGTTGAACCGGTTTGAAGATTATTCACTCGACTCTCAACTTCGATATCTACAGACGAAACCGCAACACTACAGATCATTTTTAAGCAATGAAGTGAATGGAATTCGTCATTATACATGAACATCATTGACTATGAGAAATTATTTGGTAGTGTGGATAAAAGAACCTTATGGAGCCTTCTTCGGAACTGTGGTGTATCTGAGAAGATTGTCAACGTCATACGAAAGTACCGTTGTTTGTATAAGATACTGAATTTCGGTTGACCGGACACCACTAGTAACAGCCTACTGTGGGAGAGAACAAACCAGGTTTTAGATGAATAGGAAATTAGAGAGAGACACTTGAGGTAGGTGTGAAGAATATTGTGGAAATCATCAAACTGCATTATGAGGCAAGTGCTAATTTGGGATTTTGAAAAGAAGAGGAAAAGAGGAATATCAAGGAACAGATTTCGTTGTGAACTGGAAGGAGACATCATAGGGAGGAATATCAGATGGGAAGGACTGTCTCTTACAGTGTTTGTTGGAGAATCCTAGTGGGGTGCCTATGTTCCTCTACGAGGGGTAACAGGCGTTGGTTGGTATGTAATATTTTGTTGGAATGGTCAATAAACATTCGTTTGTATCGGTCATATACAGGGGGACCGATCTGATATTTGTTTAAACGTTATGTGCTCGTGAGTACCCTTAATTTGCATTCATTTTCTAAGGAATTAAATACACACTACTCTATGAAATCAATGACAATACTTCAACTTTGTAAGGGCGGTTATTTGTGGTTTATATGACTAAAAGATTACATAATTAGATACTGACATAGCAATAGCTATCTGTATCTAACAAATGTAAGTGATTCTAATTATATCTTGTTAATTGTTTATTTATAGAATTTATGCTTTGCAAGAACGTGGTGAATGTTTCACTTCACCCGGTTTACTATTAAAAAAATTATCTAAACATTTCCCTGAAATGACAAAGTGTACTTTTGCTGAATGGATGCGTAAAGAAATTGGATTAGACGAGAAATATATAAATGAATTAGGGTTTGGAATATTTTCGAGTAATTATTGTCAGAATTCAGTAGATGCTCATGCATTTGTCGGTGAGTTAATGTAGAGTTGATTCATTTTCTAAATCTATGAAATTATTCAAATCTTACTTTGATGTCCTTTTGTTTATATTCTTGACTACCTGACTACTTTATTACTGTAATGTCTATTTATGTATACTTGACCTACTTCTTATGTAGAACTATTGATTAAAACGGTAACTATTTTACAATTTCTTTTCACTCCTAAGTATACCTGTCAACTTTCAATTTCTTACTTCTTACCTATTATATGTAGTTATGCAATCCATTTCATGGACTTTATGGATGTGAAACATAGAGGATATTCATAAGTTACTGGTGTTCGATCCTTAGGTGTCTACGGTGCATTGTTTGTGTATTTTGGGACCACGTGGTAAGCAATATCTGAATGAGGAATAGAGTACTACGTAAAGATGGAAAATCGATTGATGAGGTAGTAAATCTTCATCAACCGAGGTGTTTGGGACATTTGTTGGATATTCCCAACCACCGCCTACCACGATAGTCGATGTTACCTAGTGGAGGACTAGTCTGGAAGAAATCTAGGGTCTGCCAAACTAAAAACATGGAATCAGTTCACGAAGTTACTGATAATTGGACTTAGCCATGTTAATTTGTGTAGACTAGCTGGTTGAAGTTCGCATGATTATCATGATTAATGGCATGGCTCAAAATCGTTTACAATGACTCAGGTGCATCCATTTATTGTTTTCCCCCAAATCCTGAGATTATTGATTCTTCATAACTTTTATTTGACTAATTTATATTTTCTTTTCGAATCGTATATTCGATGCCTAATTTTCCCTATTTTTACTGATACTGCTACTGCCTTTACTATTCTGGGATTTGACCTGACAACTTCATCAACTTATGAGGTATGGTAATCTGAACCGATGTACTTACGTACAGGTTCTACGTTGTGGCTGGCTGACTGCATGTAATTTGTTTCAACGTTTACTCATAGTCTAACAGATAGATATTGTTTTTAAATATTTGGTTTTGAGGCTATCAGATCTCAGACTGGGTGAAATATACCAGTAGAACTTACTTTCAGTTGACTGTTCTAAGCAACAACCATATTCTTGTTTAACCTTTTGTACAAAAGTGTCTGGTTTTGCGTCCCATATCTGAATTTAGTGTTGAAGAGAGATTTTATTATGTAGTATTTTACTCGGTAGTAATTCACGAATATCTTCTTCATTATGAAATCTTTCAATTTGGTCGTAAAGGATTAAAGTCCTGTTGTATCCTGTCGTATTCTCGACACAGGTGAACGTACAAATCGCAATACACCAATAAAGTAATATTTAGTTATATTATAAGCGTTTTGCCAATTCATAATATGGACTTCGTCGAATTAATGCATTTATTCAACCTTGTAGTGTCGGCTTCTATGTTAGGCCTAAATAACCTATTCCAGCTTCTAAAGAAACCAACTTATCCATTCTCTTCAAGCTACAATTTGATCTTGTCAATTATTCGCTTATCGACTTTGACTTTTTATATGAGCGTATGTGTGTGCACTTATCCTATTCATCACATGTCTGTAACTTATTTTTGTTCGACTATAAATATCGATTCACGCTTGGCAAAATTGAGTTGGTTCACTCGCCTTTTCCACTGCGCGTCATTTAGTTTCACTTCTCTCTCTTCTTCGCTCCGTCATCCTGATTGTCTTCTCAGATCAACGATCGTATAAAATATACGCCCCGACCGTTGTTGCTACCTTGACGTGGTGGTCAGGCTTGCCTATCGTGATGAAGCAACCGAGCTATACTGGCTGGAACAACCGTTCCTCAAGGTCCTACCATGTCAGACAGGTCGGTTGAAGAGCGGTAAGACTAAAAGCAACAAACCCAAGGTCCGAAGGCGAAGTCGTACTGCTGACTGTACAGAGGTGTGACAGCAGTAAGGTGTTTCCTTCAGACAACCAGCATGACAGCGATGCTGCCTTCCCACAAGGAGGGGTGGGGTTAGAAAAGGTCGACCCTAAAAATGCGCACCTCACCTTACCTCACAGATTTCCGTCTCCAGCGGTAAGGCCCTTTGAAGAATGGAGCTAACACGTCAAAAACCTCCCACGAGAAGGCCGTGCGCGACCGGCCTCAAGCAGTTGTCCCTTGGGCACTGCGGTCACGCTCTCAGGTCACTGAGACCACTTCTAATCCAATTTCCTTTTCAGGTACCTCCAGAAGAACCCTTCCTCGGTGTGGGCAACCGGGAAGTGATGACCGCCCTCATACCTTTAACAGCACCCAAGACCACTGATAAAATATACGCATTCAAACTTCATTCTCTCATTATAATTATAATTATGGATTTCTACATTATTATTCTTACTATACATTACATACACAATTTGCTCACCTATCAGTTTTCCTTTACAAACTTCATCATTCCTTCGTTCCTGTCGTTATTACAATTACTCTCTGTTTACATTCCTGTTCTTTTCAATTCAATTGTCTTAGCCTGCTGCAGCCAGGAATCCCACTTGTGATTGGTGTTACATACTACTTATATATAAGTAGCATACACCATAGTATATTATCTATATTTTTCCAAGTTATCAGTTATACTGTTCACATCCATTTTTTATTTGTAGATAATGTAATATTAAAGCGAAGCATTGACATAACCTTGATTTTAATCTTGATCATTTTGTTTCTATTATCAATTATAGGAGTGATTTCTTCAGCTTGTACAGTATCTGATGTATATACTATTGAAAATGGAGCTGAACAAATCCCGCAAAAGTTAGTTGAAGTTGCATTGGCCGGCAATCCTTCTGGTGCTCCAAAAGAGTTTATACACGCTACGGTGAAGAAGATTACACGAACCGATAATGATAGGTAATCCTATGTTTCTAATGAGATGTTTTTCGTCAGTAAAACAGTCATTGCTGTGCTGCTAAATAAGACTCCAATAAGACTGTGTATTATGTTAAAGCCAGTCAAGTTTTAAATAAAAATAAACTCGTCTATAAATCCAACTGTTTGACTAAAATGTAGTATTTTAATTCAGTTTACCATGCATGGAAGAAGGATTTGAATTAAAACTATAAACAAACTACTGTATTTCTTCAATAATTGTGCAGAAGATGTTTTATCATAAAGATTTTGAATTTTAGAGAAAACGGTTCAATCCATGAGGTATAAACTCGAAACCTTTTTGTTCTCTTTCCAACATAGTAAAACTTCAGTAAGAACTATTTTAGCTTATAATTGCTCAATCAGGTTATTGTAGTAATAACATACGATCGTCACTACGAAGTAGTACATGTAAAACAAAAAATGTCCTTAAACTTCTAGATGTTAATGTTATATCCGAGCGAAGATTAAATCACGAGTAATTCCTGAGACATGTTAATTGACTAATATTATCCATATATTCTTATGGTGTAACTATTCAATAATTAGATTATGTATATTTATATTCCTCTTATTATAAGCTTTATTTCGACCTATAATTTATTATTGTACAAATTACGGTTCTTAAGCTATATTCAGTTTATTGACTACTACCTCCCACGTTCACAGCCACATTTGGCAAAATATTGTACAAATGTTAATTTCCATTTTATGGTACGTTGTGGTCTGTCCTGTTGATATATAAACCTAGTATGTCTGAAATAAAATCGATTCGATTCGATTCGATTCGATTCGATTCGATTCGATTCGATTCGATTCGATTCGATTCGATTCGATTCGATTCGATTCGATTCGGATTGCAGAAGCTGGTTGTTTTGTTCTGGCCTCAAATGGACGGGTTAGGCGGACATAGGACCAATAAGGACTCTAAGCGGCGCATACCGGTTGAACGTCATTGGTTCTGGCACAGTGCTAAGACTGTATAAGTCGTATTTTGATTGGTGAATAAATCATGTGATAAAAAGCCGGACATAAAGTCATAACAGTTAATTATGAGTACTTTATATTTTCCTAAGTGTAGGTACATTTAATGATGCTCTTCACCACATTCTGAATTCGAAGTTGGTTTTCATTGTTAGCTTTTAATCACCTAGTGGGATAATTTAATTAACTTATCCAACAGTGTTTTTTTCTTCAAAATCTCCATATTTCAACATTTACTCTTGTGAATAAAACTAAATTCTCACTTGATACAAGTAGAATATATTAGCATTAGAGCCATTGGATCTGATCCCAATATTAACTAATTGGATTTTTTTTTAACTAAAGCATGAAAAACAAGCTTAGTAGAATAAGGTGAATTCATTTATTTCGTGGATTCTCAGTTAACTAGCCTGTCGTCTACAGTAATAAGCACCAGACTTTCCAAGTTTAGTATTTAATCTATTGCGATCAATTTTTGATGAATGCTACCTACACATTAAACTAACCTTCATAATATACTAGCCAAGCTTACCATTGAGTTACTACAAGATGTGCTTGGAATTCTAATAAGAAGTTGTGACTGGTGGAGTTTATACATAGCGGAAGTGAAACAGTTGCCACTAGTAATGGCATTGGATGATTTCTGCCTTTCATCGAAAATTAAATAAATTTGAGATTGTATCATTGGGAACCGACCCAGTGGTCCTAATGACTAGGTGTTTGCGAAAACTGAAGATCTTGATTTCAATCCCTAGTGAGGTCTTGGGTGCACACTTCTAGGTTGAAACAGCTCTCCAGTGGCCTGTGGTTCTCACTAGTACTCGAAATGAGATCGATCAGTTAGTCAAACGCCACATACAATCTGGCACATATATGTACATCAGTTCAAGTTGCCATTATCCATTAGCTCAGTGAGATGAAATTGTCAGGGTAAACCCGAGATTAGTAGGGGGTAGTAAACATTTTAGCGATGACAGAAAAGATAATACATTGGAGATACGTTGTGAGAAAGTGTAAATTGTTAACAAATTGTTGGAAAATATTTCTTTTATCAATTTTTAGAAATATTATTGGTTGTTTTGTTTACACATGTACATTTTACGTGATTATTTTGATTTTACCTTAATTATTTGTTTCAGATTACGCTTATCCTATGATCTAGCCGATAATAATAAAACTGAAGAGGGACTTTTCGATTACGTCATATTGTCATTACCACTACATCAAGAGTCCAATATTTCCACTTCAGATGATATTAAACTACCCAGCTTACGTTATCATGAGATGTGTCGTACATTTTTATCCGGTCAAATCAATTATTCGTTATTTGATCTACCGTTAAGTAAGTAGTCACAGTTTGTTACACTTACGTAGTTCATATTTATTACTGCCCCCAAATGCCCTGGTATGGCTGAGAGCGGTGTGGGTTCGTCCTCCCTCTCGAAATACTCGCACACGGCCACGCGTATACAGCCTTTGCCAGGGAAGTCCTACTCATTGCCTTCTCGTGGCGAGGGTGTTGTTTACGAAAATGAGAGGACGAAAAGCGAATGTCCGGCGCTTTAACTGGATTCCAAATCAATGGTGCGCATGGGCACCAGTATCCTGCGGGAACAAATGGCGTATGAACCAATTTTCAAGTACCGGCTACCATGGGACTTCATCTCCTTACGATGCTCCGCTGCCTTGTGGGTTAGACCTTTAGGTCAAGGGCTCGGGGTGTGGCCCCCTAAGATAACCACCTGCTTCGGTCTGGGCACCCGCGTAGTATCGCAGCCCCACACGCAATTAATGAACTGAACTGTCTATGATCATGGAAACTAATTCTCTTGCTTCGACGAACA